CTGGGTTTGTCACCATTAAACACAAAACAATTGAAGAGTTTTCCATTTGCTGAAGATATAAAGGAGGGAATGACAATCCTGATGGCTGTTCCCAAGAAATACAAAGGAAGATGCAGAGGGATGTAGCCAGAGAGTACCTTTTCTTTAGGAAAGAGGATGCTGCTAATTGCCTGAACACACGGGGGAACATTCATACTCATTTCTATCAACTTTATTCTAAGGGAAAGCTCCCACATTCCCAAAATGCATGGGAGAAATGTTTTCAAAGCAAGGGATTTGCAATGAAACCAGCTCCTCAGGCCCATTCGAAGATGCTGAAACATCTAATTCACTCTGGATACAGAAGCAATGAGGCCTTTGAGAATCCAAACCTAAAACCAGAAACACTGGTCTGTGTTGAAGGGACCTTAAAGCTCCTCCAGCTCCAACCCCTGCCACGGCCAGGGACCCCTTCCACTAGAGCAGCTTGCTCCAAGCCCCTGTGTCCAACCTGGCCTTGAACACTGCCATGGATGGGGCAGCCACAGCTTCTCTGGGCACCCTGTGCCAGCGCCTCAGCACCCTCACAGGGAAGAGCTTCTGCCTAAGAGCTCAGCTCAGTCTCCCCTCTGGCAGGTTAAAGCCATTCCCCTTGGCCTGTCCCTACCTGCTCTTTTAACAAGCGTATAGGCCACTTATAGAAATATATGATTTATTCCCTGAATTTCTTGCCAATATTCTCCCCTCCTCCCTCTGTGCACGGTGCTCACACACACATGCTCCTTCTGAAAGGCTCCTAAAGCAATCTGTCATTCAAGAGAAAAAAATAGAAATAGCCAAATATAGGGATGAATAAAATTATCCCTGTGCATATAAATGTACAGCCTGTAAATTACCCATCTCTCCTGAGGAGGAGTTGGGTGCAGCACAGGGTTTAGTGCACGTGGTGCTTCCACAGTGACAGGATAAAGCATCGGTAGCTGAGGCTTTCAGCCCAGTATCTCATCTATTAACCTAATATGAGGCTGGGTACCATTTCTGGCATGGATTCAGGGAAGCACTTAGATACATTCATGTCTATAAGCACCCTCTGAAAAGCCACTTTTTCCTCAATGGAGGTGTACAATGCAATGGCATTATTTTCATTAGAGCCATGGTTTTGAGCCCTCAAGAACACACTTATGATCTACAGAAGAACATTTAACCCAATGGGTTTGGAAATGGTTGCTCTCCTTGTGCAGCAAGCACAGTAACATTTAAGTACTAATTTTATTTCAGACAGAAAGCAAAATGGGGGTTTCTACACCCTGATCCTGGCCTGGGAGGGGCTGGGGGGGCGGATTTCTTTCTTTTTATTATGTATTTTTCACATTAGATTTGCTAATAAAGCCACCGGTATTGTACAAAAAATCTATATTAAACACCATAAACTGAGGTTGAACATGCTGATTTAAAGTATGTCCTTGGCCACTGCTAAACAATAGGCTATGAAGGCAGGAGGGGCAGAGCTGATTACTTATGCTTGCTATTACCTCACCCTGTAGAGCCACAATGACCTTAGTTTTTCTTAAACCACCAGACTATTCAGCAGTGAAAACTGCAGCCGTACTGAATATTTATCAACCCTGAACCCAGGCAAGGCTCCACACACAGAAACCCAGACAGCAGCACCTCAGCTCCTCTGGAAGGAGAGCTAACACACCACGCAACGTGCTCCTATGGCTCCGTGCTAAAGGTGGACATTTTAACTTCCCTGTGGATGAAAAGCTGACTTGTCCACACATCAGCCAGGTTAAGGACTTCGGAACCAAAGAATTCCAGTCTGGTTTGTGTTGGAAAGGACCTCACAGCTCATCCAGTTCAAGGGACACCTTCCACTAGAGCAGCTTGCTCCAAGCCCCTGTGTCCAACCTGGCCTTGAACACTGCCAGGGATGGGGCAGCCACAGCTTCTCTGGGCACCCTGTGCCAGCGCCTCAGCACCCTCACAGGGAAGAGCTTCTGCCTAAGAGCTCATCTCAGTCTCCCCTCTGGCAGGTTAAAGCCATTCCCCTTGGCCTGTCCCTATCCTATGAGAAAGGATTATTGTCCTATCCCATAAGATTGTATTATCAATAGATAAAGAAAGAAATAGAGAGGCAACATCGCAGTTTCTACTGGGGAAGCTTCTCTGCACCATACAGGTTTCTTTTCCTTTTTTAAGGGTTAAGTTAAACCCCAACTTAATGTGTCACCCCTGATGTCCATGAAAAGGGGCATCGCAGTAGGTGCTTTCCCTCCCCATCACAGTTGACAAACCTGCTCTACCACAGGAAGAGACACGTGCAGATTCAGAGTGACCCAAGATAGCTCAGCTCTCAATCATAAGCACATTGTCTTGTGAGAAGGATAAAATGTCTTTTGCATTTCAGTTTTCATCTCTGAACAATTTCAGAAAGCACAAGCGCAGACGCTGGTACAGCCACATTGTGTTGCAAGTGGTCTGAGGAATTAAATCTTTAGTATGTAAACAAGACAACAAAGTTCCTCATGTAACAAATGGTACCATTCCAGTATCCAACCACTCCACAGATATGGAAATCATGACATGAATGGCTTAGTCATACACAAATGTATGTAAGAAGCGAACAGCATGAAAAAAGCCCCTACAATTGGATAATTTCTCAACAATTTTCTCTGCTCTGAAGGTCGCTTTGAAAAAGCCATGTGGCAACTGTCAGCTGGACAAAAGGCTCTCTCTGCAAGCCTTCACTTTCCCAGAATCACCCTCATCCCTTTTCCAAAAGGAATCACTGCTGTTATTGTGTGGGATTAACAAGTGGACAGCAGAAGGAGACAAAGCAGAAGAGGAAACTGACACAGACAGGGACACGTCTCCATGCCCTGACTGTCAAAGTCCCGGCTGCTTACTCCCGACAGTCACAGGAAGGTTTGGAACCAAGTTGCTCCTCGACTCTACCACGGTTCAAGTCTGCTACAATGGCGCTTACAAGGCTCCTGTAAACTCAGAGAGGGGCACTGGGCAAAACAGGGAGAAAGGCAGCAAAAACCAGCACAAGGCTCTGAATGCGTCTTCAAAAATGTACTCTTAACTCCAAATCTTCTTTGTGTTACAGATGTTTTACTCATGAATAAAACCAAGCAGGATCTTTACAAACTCACAGTCCATATCCCCCAGCAAAAAAGCCCAGCCTAAAACTTCTTACTAGACGTCCATAACATATGACCATTACATATATGTATTATATTATACATATATGTAATGCATGGTTTACATGTATTAGAATACATGGTTTATATATGATATATAATATTATATAATACATATATATAATATATATAATATCATATAATACATGGTTTACATGTAATTATAACCACGTATATAATACACGGTTTACATGTAATTATAACCATGTATATAATATATGACCATATGACAAAACATGAATTATATGACCCCAGTTTGTGTCAGTCATTCAACAACCATCTCTTTCTGCTGCCAAGGGATTATTTTCTTCCTTTTCTGTCTCTCACAGTAACAGCAAATAAGAGGGACAGACCATGAGGAATAGTGGTAAATACTATGAATAACAGAGCAGAAAGCATTACTTTCCCAGTTCCTTTCCACGTTGCCTTAATGAAAGCAAACAAATTCCTATAATGACTGCATGAGGATGGAAAATAAACCCCTTCCTTTTCCAATATCAACAGTAAATTAAACTAATAATTTAAAAACCCTGCTAATCCACCAACGCACCGAAACACACTTTGAATTCCAAGTGTAGCAGGAGCGCCACTGGAGTCATCAGGATCTGTAGGTGCAAAATACAAGCATGTGTTTTCACTGAATCATGGGATGCTTTGGGTTGAAAGGGACCTTAAGATCACCCAGTTCCAACCCCCTGCCATGGGCAGGGACACCTTCCACTAGAGCAGCTTGCTCCAAGCCCCTGTGTCCAACCTGGCCTTGAACACTGCCAGGGATGGAGCATTCACAACATCCTTGGGCAGTCTGTTCCATGGTCAGGCTATAAGAGATTGGGTCCAGCTGGAAGAGGACATTTAAAACAGATGAAAAGGATGCAAGGAGAAGACAGAGTCGTCATCCCAGTTTCCCAATAGATGCTTGCGTACAGCCCCAAAACAGACCTCTGAACACAACCGGGTGCCTACACCTCCCTTCTCTTGCTTTTCCATGCTAACAGCTACCAATATCTTATTGACATCATCCCTGTTTTGTACGCATCTTGGTCAGGTCTAGACTCTGCCATGATTCAGGAATCTCTTCCTCCTCTGCTTTTCAATTTCTCCTTTCACTGGAGGGCAGGGAAAACAAAAGGCACAAAGTGCATCTGAGTTCACTTTTGTAAGCATGGGGCAGATTACAGTGGGTAAAAATCCCTTTGGCTGTTTCTCTCATACAAACACAGGACTGGCTGATCACTTAACAACAGGCATCAGGGATGGCATGGCAGGGTTTAGGTAAGAAGCAAGTTTCTCACAACTGTTACCAGTACAAATACGATGTCAGGCTTTTAAATGGATGTTAGACTCCAAGTGCTCCGTCAATCCCACTACTGTACAATGTCTGGGTGTTCAATCCATAATCCCAGCAGATTAGGTAAAAGTCTTTAAAAGTAAGCATGAACTATGAAAAATAACGACTCTGAGGTAGAAGTTTATCATTTTTTCTGATGCATTCTCACAGCATTCAAAATTTCAGCATCAAGTTCTTTGTAACGCTTCCACTGTGCATCAAGCGCAATACAAAGTGCAACTGAAACCCACTCTGCTCAAAGCTTCGCAGAGACCCAGACAATATTTGTACAACAGAGACACCCTTTTCAGCACAGAAAGATTCCTCTGTCAGCCTGAAATCCAATCTGCTCCTGGTTTTGCCTGAAGCATCTGCTATAACAAAGAAATGATGACACAGAACCTTGGTCAAAGTGTTTTCTTACAGATTTTAAGGACCAATGGACCTTAAAAGCCCCACTGAACTTTATTTAAAGTCCTTACCAGTTAACTTCTTCACAGGTTGGAGCCGAACACTGATAGACTGATGTGTGAGTAAGGGGGAGGATGGAAGGGAGCGGGACATGCCCTCCATAATCCGAATGTGCTGCATACCTTCGGTCACTGGGAGTGGCGGAATAGCGTAGTCTGGTTCAAAAGCACAGTCGTTCTCTGTGGAGGTGCCTGATGGGAAGAGAGAAAAAGGAACCGGTTAGAACACATGGGAGTCTCCTGCTTTCATCATTCCTCAATGGAAGCCTGCCTGGCTCAGGTGAGCCCAACCATGGAGCCATCTCACTGCACATCCCATAGGTATGCAGTTGCTCCCTTGGGTTCCCCCTCTCACAGTTTGGACACCCCCTTTGAAGACATTCTACTAGAACTGCACCTCAGCACACCTCCCTAGAGCGCAAGCAGCAGAACTATGAGGAATTTATGAAGGCCAAGAAGGATGGGGCTTGGAACAACCTGGTCTAGTGGAAGGAAGGTGCCCCTGGAACCGGATGAGTTTTAAGACCCTTTCCAACCCAAACCAGTCTGCGATTCTGTGCTTATTTGGTCTGGTTTAGTTTGTCTTTCAGAGTTCTGGAGTCACCAGTTTTACATGTCATTCACACAAAGCAAACAGCCTTTTACTGACGGTTTCTTGGGCATTCAGATTGTAGGGCAGCCTGTCCCAGTGCTCTACCACCCTCAATGGAAAGAACTTCTTCCTCATGTTGAGGTGAAACTTGGGGTTCAGTTTATGGCCACTGCTCCTCATCCTGTTGCTGGGCACCATTGGAAAGCGTCTGGCACCGTCCTCGTGGCACCTCCTTTGACATATTTATATGCATTAATGAGATCCTCATGAGGACTTTTAGCCTAAAATAACCCCTACCAAACCAACTGGAAGGACAAAAGCCTCCAAAAGCAGCCTCACCTCCAGACTGTCCCATCACAATGTACAGAGGCACCTAAAGACACATAGAGCCTGCATGTCTATAGAAGACATCACTGTGGAAGACACCAAAGAACACGACAAGAAGTGGAGACAGAACAGTAAAGGCAGATATTGTTAATTGTAGCAATATTAATGACAAATGAAGAGCAGCTGCTGCTGATTGGGAAGAGCTAGGAGCAGTAAGGATCCTCCCATTAGCTGCAGAATATGGAAACCTCTGGCTCAAGAACACCCAAGTTCTCCACCTCTACCCAATATGATGAACAACCTGACACAGAAAACTAGGAATTCATCTGCAAACCCAACTGAAAACTGTTAGTGTTAATATTTCATTACTGAGATTGTAAGGAGACTCCACTTGCACCACACCTTGAAGAGACTGATTTTAGCTTTCAGTGCCTACTGATGGTTTTTCTCCATTATTTTCACTCATTATTTGATTTTCATGGATTAGCTGGGCTGCTCTCAATGGCTTCTGAGAGTGTATTTAAAAGAGAAAATGAACTGTTAGACACAGGGGTGGACAGAAGTGGGGAGAAGCCGAAAGGACCAAGGCCTCAAAGACGTGCTACTCCAGAGGAGCCAATGGACTAACCTAATTCCAGGTATCCAAAGGACAACGTGAATAACCCAACACACTGTTTAGAAAGAGAGGAAAAGCCCCTGTTGAAACAACAAGTTCCTGAAGCATGCTCAGAGGTAGCACCATTCATGGCTAAAATCCATCTGCAGCTTCCAGGACCATCTCTCAGCATTGCTGCACCATTATTTACAAGAAACCAAACCCAACACTAACCCACTTTGCGCTATTTTGACAGCTCAAAATACACCTTTTCCTCTCTTGCTCTCTGAACACTTGCCAGTTATTGCGAGCGGAACACCTCTGCTGACTCAGCAAGTCTATTCATAACCACCCCTGAGTGCCAGGAAGGACAAAGCTGGCACTGGCATTGACAACCCCAACCTGCGGTGCTTCTTCTAAATACATTTGGCACCAGATTTGCCATCACTGATTTGGATTCTTAAAAGGAAAGTTCTCATTTCCTCAGGCTACATTTAAGGGTTTGAAGGAACTGGAAACAACAGCATCTTCCAAGTTCTCGTGTGGGTCAGACCTGCAAGTCACTGCGTTGCACTGGTTTTTACGGAGTAAGATGTGAGTATCTTTGACCAAACTAAACCCAAGGGCAAATGAGGGCAGGCTCTGGTATAGAAATACAAGTAACTACATCTTTGCCAAGTTTCCAGGAGCGTTTTCCCTTTGAAAATTCCCATGCTTTACAATGGAACCAAGGAACTCACTAAATACCCACAACGTACTATTTGCATTCCACAGATGTCACACTACACAAACAGGGTAATTGAGACGCTCCTCAGTTTGGTCCAGTCAGGAAGGACACTGGGTTGATCAAACCCCCAAATTAGGGATCATTCACGGCTGAACTGGAACCTTGACAGTTTGACCATAAAAGTAAAATGTCACTGCGAAGGGCACGTTTGAACAAACAAACTTTCTTGACGTTTTCCAAGATAATTATGCTTTACAGATAGGTGGAACACTTGGGCATCACATGTGTCTTCATGGAAGCTGGAGCAGAAGACAACTCCCTCGTTTCAGTTGGCTGGTTTCTCTCAGGACAAGAAAACCCCTTAACCTATCTCTATGAAAAATACATGTCAAGATCTGCTACAGAACAGGGCAAAGTTAAAGATAACAGTTTTAGGGAGCAAAGAGACTTGTTCTTCCTTGAACTGCATCTACAATTGCATCCACTGATCCAAATGGAAGCATTCGGTGCAGACGCTTGTTCTCCAAGAAGTCAGAAATACTTTTTTACCTGTTTCCCCCTTGTTGTGGTTTAAACCCAGTCAGGTAATTCGTTCGCTCACTTCCCCCCCTTTTCTTGCTCTCCCCCTGCTCTCGGAGGGACGGAGAGGAGAATCGAAAAGAATGCAACTCTCACGGGTTGAGATAAGAACAGTTTAGTAACTAAGGTATAACACAAATCACTGCTGCTACCACCAATGATAATAATGATAAAGGAAATAACAAGGGAAGAGAATACATCATCTCACCACCAGCCGACCGATAACTCGCCCCCCCCAGCCCGACCAAGCTCTGACCGATACCTCCTCCAACCCTGCAGTCTCCCAGCCCTTCCGGCTAACTCCCAGTTACATCCTGGGCATGACGTGCTGTGGTATGGAATACCTCTTTGGTCAGTTTGGGTCAGGTGTCCTGTCTCTGCTTCCTCCTGGCTTCCCCTCCTGCCTGGCAGAGCATGAGGCTCACAAAGTCCTTGGCCAAACCAAAACATCGCTTGTTATCAGCTCTGTTCCCCAGCTGAAAGTCAAAACATTGCACTGCACCAGCTACCAAGAAGGGGAAAAATGAGTGCTACTGCTGAACCCAGGACACCCCTCTATTCCCTTCTCATGCTGAGACTTCTTGCTTGCCTTTGCCATTCCTGGAGTCACTGAGGCAAACAGACAGAGGTTGGTCATTCTGTGGCACGTAAGGACTTGCCAATACATCTTCTGCCCAAAAGTGGTATTTTTTCACAGCAGCTGAGATGCTGAATAAATGTAACCTGAGAGAATGAAGTGTCTGAAACAAGTGTATGGAATCCCAGCAGGCAAGGAGCTGCTGCACCCTGTAATGCCAAGCCAGAGGACAGACCCCAGACAGACAGAAGGACATCACAGGGACTAACAGCAAAGAAAATGGGCAAGGCTCAGCCTCCATGAGTAACACAACAGTGGCTTTATCTGAGCTGAGGGTCTGGAAAAGAGCGCCCATTCATTCTGTGCTCTGGAAGCACGGAAATGTGACTTGCATGCAAGCTATCCCAGGTTACACACAGTTACAAATCCCTTTGTTTCTTCCCAATTTTAACTCTTCTATTTTAAAATGAGAAATTTGAAGGAATTGATTTTGCAATAGTAACAAAAATATCCTGTGTTTCAGCTGGTGATGTTTCCCAGGGTTCTGCCTCTCAATTCCAATCCCCCTAATCCCGATCCCAGGCTTCAATCACTTGCAATGATTTTGCCTGGGCAACATTGGAATCCTGCCGAAAAAGAACAATGCTCTGGAGAAAATGTCTCCATGAGAAGTCACTGGATACCATGACAGCAACAGACTTGAACCAAAATGAAAGGAAAACTATTGCTACAACCCCAAAGAGAAACATCAGTCAACGCACCTACTAGAGCCATGCTTCCAGAACCTGCTGCTTAGCCTCAAGAGCTGTGTGAAATACCAGTGTTTTCACAACCCTCACAAACCGGTAAATGCTTAAAACTGGAAGTGAACTATTTCAAAGGACACAGAAGCCAGCACAGACCCAAGAGCTGCTGCTCTCAATGGCAGAAATCCCCTTTACACAGCTTTTAGTGGTAGTTTTAACCACCAAACCTATTAAGAATGATGGATACTCAACAGAAGTTTGTAGAATAATCATTTAAGTAATATTCGAACTATTTTTACTACTTTCTGCCTAGGACGTTTTGCCCTGTTCCTGTAGGATGAAACGACAAAGCCAAGGATGTAACTGGCAGATGCTCAGCCTGTCCGGAATGCACCGGTCCCCTCTCCATCACACTGGAAGGACATCCTGGGTACTGCCTTTGCAACTGGGGGCAAGGCAAGCAAGTCGATTTGCACTGGGATGTGCTGAAGACTTCTTCCACCACCAGCTCCAACAACTGCCCTTGTGTAAAGCTCCTGCAAAACAGAGACGTCACAGACTCCACAGTCTTGTGCCACAAACAAACTCCATAGGGGCAGCCTGTTTTGGGGAATGTTAGCAGATTTGTAGCTCTGTGGATAACAGTGATGGGTACAGAACCCCGTCAGACTACACAGCCTGATGGAAAACACAACATGTACGTGGAAGAAGGTGAACACATGAGAAATGGGTCACTGAGGCAGAACAACACTAACGTTTACCTTGCCCAGATCGGCTCTGACGGGAGTCTACACTTGCCTGTCTTCGGTCTGGTGGCTCCTCGTTCCCTCCATCTGCATGAGAACCAAAACAGCACAAGTAGAACATCATCGTGGACAGGTCAGGCAGATGCAACTTTTCCTTGAGCACCATCACCTATGCTGTAGGAGCAGCAGAACAACACAAAGATCCCTTGTGCACGCTGGCACTGGGCAAACGCTGACTGACTCCTTCGCTCTTCCTCCCCAGCTCAGTGCAAATGGAATCTGTGTGGTCCTCAGATATAAGCAGGCTTTTAATTCCTCTCACTGACCCCACAGGCACGTCGATGAAATAGTAACCAAACAGTGCATCTTCAGTCAGTTCCTCCACTTAGATATCAGAATATAACAAGTATTAACCACGTGAAGAAAGAGATCCAGGGAAAAAGAAAGAAATAAAAAGAATATTCTATAAAATGGTTTCCCTTTAAAATTATTTGTCAGCTAAAACCCAGGAAGGCCAAGAAGAACAAAACCACTCCCCTCCGAAATTGTTTAGGAATGCAGCTATAGCTAACAAATACAACAATCCATCTGGGTAAATGCAGAGTGGGACACAGCGTACAGTATCATACAATTAATTACATGCTGGTCCTCATTGATCAACTGACCAGATTAGAAACAATAGATGTGCACATCAATAGAGATGCTTGAGTGCACGGGGTTCATGCCAGCTGAAAGTAGAGGTTTGGCTATGGAGGCTGTGCAAAGGCAGAAACCAGGCATTTACAATGTGGATTGCTGCGGTTAGTGCATCTCGTGGCAGGGAAGGGGAAGCTTTTGGAGTCCTTAAAAATAGGTTTGAAATAAGTGAATTGTTAAATAGCTGTTTAAAGACTCAATAGGCCCCATTTTAGCGTTTATATTTTTTGATTGTACTAAAAGCAGCTGCATTCTGATGTGTTTCTAAGTAGATATAGAGACACAGAGACGTAGACAGCAAGGAGCTGGACTTGATCCTTATGGGTCCCTTCCAACCAGAGATATTCTATGACTCTATATCCCCGAAATTATCTGTTGGATGGGCCTGCTACGCCATCAAGTAATTCAATTCCACCAACTCATACTACATGTGAGCTGCATCTGTTAGCCTAGCTCTAAAGGGAAGCTAGAGCACAATGGGTAAGGTGATGGGAAACTTAAGCCCAACCCCAAAAAGCAGGGCCACAGCCCAGGCCATGGGAGATTCTTTGTTTCCTCTGCCCCAGGGATGGTGATTCCAGCCCTGCCCTGGGCAGCCTGTTCCAATGCCTGAGCCTCTCTGGGGCAGGAATTGTTCCTCAGCTCCATTTAAACCTGCCCGGTGCAGCCTGAGGCCATTTCCTCTTGTTCCATCCCTTGTTCCTTGGGGGAAGAGAGCAGCCATGAAGGATGTGATACTGCAAATGTGACTGCAGCTTTGACATGCACCCTCTTGGGATTAGCTGCACTGAGCTGCATAAACGACTATTAACAGGTCATTATGGAGAAAACAAAAAGCCTTTGAGTCCCAAACAGAAATCCACAATGCAAGATGGTTATAGGGACTGAAAGGTTTACAAGACAAGGGTTTACAGAGATTAAAATCAGGACCAAAGCTCTGTACCTATCAGCAGCCACATCATCATCCTCAAAACCCAAACTCAATATCCTTGTTTTGCAGGGTTGTTGTGAGAGATGCTAAACCAACACCTGGCCAGGCCCATCCAGGTAATCCACAGGCGGGTCCTGGCAAACCTTTGTCCACCAGTAAGGAGCTGGGAAGAGGCTGGACTGGTTCTGAGGGACGTGGATTCTAATGGAGGAGATGCTGCAGGATGCCACCTCACAGGACCACACGTGCTGAAGTCTGGTTACATGGCAGATGGAGCACCAGCCCCGTCCTGCCAGGAGCAGAACTAAGGAGGTCCAGCACCACGCCACACTCAGAAGATGCCTGAACAGTAACACACCATTCCCTGGGACTCACAACCACTCTCAGCAACAAGAGCCACCACAACTCAGTGCTAGGCAGGAGCCCAGGCATTGGAAAGTCTCTGTTGCTCCTATGCCACAAGGTGCCACAGGGACACCAGAGCACCAAAGCACCAAACTGCACTTCACCACAGCTGGTCTGCATCTCCTCCAAAACTTGGCTCCTCCATTAACAGAAGCAGCAAGGTTTACCCTTGACATCATTCTTGGTAGGGAGGAAAAGCAAGCTGCCCTTGGAAGACAGAAGGCTTTCACCCACTGGCTTTACCAGGAATCTAAATCCTACTTGGATTTTCTCCAACTAAATACATCTAATACAAGCATGTTCTCTATTTTAGAAGAAAGAACTGTTAGCTTTTAGTCCAAAATGAGTAGATTTGGGTCTCTCAGAAGTCAGCTGCCCTGCTGACATGAGGCAGGTATTATCTAAAACCATTAAATTTAAGAAGTACATGGTGACACCTTAAAGAGATACATGATGGGACCCTAAAGAGATACACCACCACCAATTCCCCATGAAAGTCCAGCTAGAATATTTCAAGCCTAAATAAGAATTAATCTACTTAAAATCACAGACTGGATTGGGTTGGAAAGGACCTTAAAGCTCATCCAGCTCCAACCCCTGTCACAGGCAGGGACACCTTCCACTGGAGCAGCTTGTTCCAAGCCCCTGTGTCCAACCTGGCCTTGAGCACTGCCAGGGATGGGGCAGCCACAGCTTCTCTGGGCACCCTGTGCCAGTGCCTCACCCCTTAAGATCACTGGGAAGGACAAGACCTCTCATGCAGCAGTCACTTGGACATAACAATGCTTGTACCCGTGCCTTGAGAACAAGCATGAACCAGGGCAGCAGACCCCGGTCATCCTGCTCTCTGATGCTCTTCAACACCCAACAGTGGGATGCAAAACGGTGTGCTCATTGCATGGGGGGGGGGGGGGCAGATGACCTTTGAAGATCCCTTCCAACCCAAACCATTCCATGATTCTATGAACTACTGGAATCAATTTAGGAGGGTGGGAATGGCAAAAGGAAATGTGATGACTCAGCATGTATTAGGGCTGCCATCATCATGCCACTGAATTCACCCACCGCTGCTGTGCCTGGTGCAGCTGCAGCAAAGGCTGTAGCTTGGCTGAATGCAGTGGCAGTTCTGAGAACCATTCAGTGGCTTTTAACGAGGAACCTTCTGGGAACAAGAACAGGGAATGTGGAGCCATCCCCTCCCCAAGGGACACACGTGCACGTCCACACACACTTAACAGGCATAAATAAACCCACAGGTTCACCAGATGAACCCATTCAACCTGACCACCTCAGGGCTGCTTCGGGAAGCCCCTCACCCTGTGCACCACCGACCCTTCCCATCTGCTGTGCCCATCTCTATAGCCAAGGAAAAGCAGCAGGAAACACGGTGTCTCCGGCAGGCACATCCCAATAGGATGCTCCTCCAGGGCAGAGCAGGCAGGAACTGTGAAATGATGGATGCTTGCAAGAAAGCATAAAAATACAACCAGATCCATGCCAGGCAGGATCTAAAGCGTGTGGTGAACAGGCAGAGCACTGCAGGGACATCAGGAGCAGCCCCCAGTTAGGAGCTGAGCAACTCAACTATTTAATACCTTCCCCCCTTTGCTACAAGGCACCCTCCAGTCCCTGCAGTGGAGGAGCAGGGTTACCAGGATATGATCCCATACATCATTCAAGAGTTATCTTCACATACACACAAAAAAGGGGCAAATCACTGTTGCTAAGGGAACATTAATTCTCATGTCTTCAAACTCCAAGTGCTTGAGTTTATGGTCTTGACAGTGCTCACCTCTGTCTGCACACCAGAACTCAGGTGTTCTAACAGAAGTTATCTTATTTATCCATGATTTTAGGTACTTGGTAGTATTTGCTTTATTATTTATGGGCATGACCCCCTCTTTGGACAACAGACTGCAGACAGCATCACCTATGGAAGTGTAACCAACTTGGTTCCTGTAACCACTGTCAGCATGGTGATACACCACAGCTCCTGACAACGCCTCGGATGCCACTGATCACCAGAAGTAAACCAGCTGTGAAACCACTGCTAGAAAGCACAGGTATTTGTGTCCATCTAAAATAAAGATGGGAACAGACCGAGACCAACCTGGATAAGGAGCTACTACAGAAGCCGCCATGAGAAACGCCCCAAGGGAAGTGAATGACACAGTGAAATACTGACTCAGGAATCCATGCTCTCCTGCAGCTGGCAAGGAGAGGCAGGGAAACTTGCCTGGTGGTGTATTTTCATGTATCTCAGGGCTAAAAAAGTCCACTGAAATCTACACGATTTGAACTGCAGAAAGATGCTGTCTCATCAGCACCAAGCATCCCTCAGCTGGGACAGGAGACACAACCGGGGGTCAGTTCTATGGAAGCATACAGCAAACGAACAGCTATGAACTCTTCCTCTCAACTACAAAGGGATTCAGTGATCTCAGCAATCACAGCTTCAGAGAAGCTTCTCTCCTGGTCTAAAGGGGTCTGAGAGGCTCTGGCTTCCCCTCCTTCCTTACCTGCTTGTCTCCCCCCCCATCCCTGTTCCACCAGTTCTCCATTTAAAACCAAGGACACACCAATCCTCTCCCATACCCAGAGCTGTTTTCTTTGAACAGAAAGCTCCTGAAATGAAAAGACAATCCCAGGGGTTTCAGCAACGCTGCTCAATAAATCCACCACACAAAACACCACATCACAACCCATCAAACTGCGAATCCAAGTGGGATGCATCTGCACCAACACCATCCATGGCAGCAAGAAACACAGCACCTTCAGCATCACCTCCCTGCCAGGTGCCCCCGGGAAAGGCAAAGACAGCAACTTTTACATCAAATCAAGGGCCAGCGGCCCTGAATTCCTGCTTCCCCGTTTAATTCAAGCAGCCTCTAAAGCCACGAAGCGATTCTTCCCGGCTTCTTTTATCTGACAAAGCAATTTTTAAGCAGGAAAATAACAGGGTGGGTCAGCGGCTCCACGCATGCTGGGAAATCTGCTGCAAGAACCGACTGCATTAGCTGTGCTGCTGCTGTAAGGGCAGCCGACAGCACTGCCC